GTGAAAATCTAAAATGAAATATATTTAATATTTATTAACTGAGTTATTGGTTCTAATACTTAATAGATTTACTGACTAACCAATACAATAAATAATTTAAAACATGTTATACAAGATTGCTTATCCCATCAGTTATCACACTTTAATTGAGACCGCGGCTAGTGATTGCAGGTGCGCGTACCGATAACAAAACGAGCTGTCTAGGCAAGACGTAGCTAGTGCCACTAGCAAATATCTTATCAAAACTCAAAGACTATGGACAACGCCCCTAATCAGCACTAACAAAATCAAATTAAATAATATGATATTATTTAAAATTATAATATTTGATAAGAAATAAAGACATGATGAGAAATTGTTCGTGGGTTGTTTCTAGACGCTCGTAATGAAGGAAGAAATTTCGGGGGTTATTGACCTCCTAACTCCCCCCCTATGTGTGCGCCACTGGACATTAGCAAATTGGGTAATTCTTATAAAAACGCGTACAGACGATTTCTGTCTACAGAAAAACGATTAGAACTAAATAAAAAGTTAGGTAAGGATTATCAGCAATTCATGTATGATTACCTATATCTTGGTCACATGGAACCGCTGCGCGGCGCGGGGGAAGGGTCGGTCAATGAACCAGGCTATTTTCTACCGCATCACGCTGTAGTAAACGATAACAGTAGCACCACTCGTCTGCGCGTAGTATTCGACGGTTCTAGTAAAACCGATACAGGGATAAGCTTAAACAATGTCCTATTAAAAGGACCAACAATACAAGACGATTTATTAAATATTTTGGCTAGGTTTCGTACACACAAATACGCTATATCCGCAGACATATCGAAGATGTACCGTCAAATTTGGATTGCACCGGAGCATCGGAAATATCAAAAAAATATTTTGGCGTGAAAATAAGGAACAGCCTATGCAAATATTTCAATTAAATACGGTCACTTATGGTATTGTCTCGGCATCGTTCTTAGCTACCGCGTGCTTGTATAAACTAGCGGAGGACGAGCATAGTAATTTTCCAAAGGCGTGTAATACAATAAAAAATGACTTTTACATGGATGATTATTTAGGGGGTGCAAATACGAAAGAGATGGCCATACAATTACGTAATGATTTGCGAACAGTGTTACAATCCGGTGGCTTTAACTTACGAAAATGGTCTGCCAATGATCCGGAGTTATTAAAAAATTTAAATACGGAAAATAGTGATTCTATGTTGGTACTCGAATTAGAAAACGAAATGGCGAAAGTTCTCGGGGTACTGTGGCATCCTAGGAAAGATATATTTCAATATAAAGTACAGGATACAAGTTCGGAAATTCAATCGACAACAAAGAGAAGCATATTAGCGCAAATAGCTTCATTGTTCGACCCACTCGGTTTAGTGGGACCTATAATTATAAAGGCAAAAATTTTAATGCAAGAAATGTGGAGGTTAAAAATTGATTGGGATAAACCGGTACCGACGAAAATGCAAGATGAGTGGACGAAATATTTACACGAATTGGCAAGTTTACGGGAATTGTGTATACCGCGTTTTTTGTGTACGGAAGATAATTGTTATATAGAGGTTCATGGTTTCGCTTACGCCAGTTTAGCCGCCTATGGCGCGTGCATATACGTCCGCACTACAAATAATAGTGGTGTTTGTACATCGCATTTATTGTGTGCAAAATCTAAAGTTGCGCCTTTAAAAGTTATATCACTCCCCCGATTGGAACTATGTGCGGCCGTAATTTTGGTAAGGCTGTACAATAAAGTAATACCAAAATTAGGTATACAAATACAACGGCGATATTTTTGGTCTGATTCGTCAATCGTCTTAGCCTGGATAACTTCACCTTCTACGCGTTGGCAAACATTTGTTGCGCATAGGGTGGGGGAAATTCACGATCTTAGCTCAGTAAACGAATGGCACCATATTGGAACTAAGGACAATCCCGCGGATATTATTTCACGAGGATGTGGTGCGAAAGAAATTATAAATAGTTCTATATGGTGGCACGGACCAAGCTGGTTAACCAGCGATCATAAAACTTGGAAAAAAACTGTTTGCGAATTAAAATATACCGAAATACCAGAAGAGAAGGGTACACCGAAAACTGTTGCATTTTTAGCACAACCGGTTATAAACGAACAAATATTAAACAATTATTCCTCTTGGAATAGATTATTGCGCATTTTTTGTTATTGTTTACGTTTTATAAAAATAAGAATAAAAAAAATTAAAGTAGTTGGTCCAATATTATCAGATGAATTAAAAGAAGCTGAAATAATTATAATTAAAATAGCTCAAGCTTCCTATTGGTCCAGTGAAATAAATGATTTAAATAAAAATTGCACTTTAACGATAAAAAGTAAATTACATAATTTACAACCCTTTTTGGAAAACGGAATTATACGAGTCGGTGGCCGCATAAAAAATGCCAATCATGTGAGTATAGCACAGCGTCATCCTATTCTGATTCCAAAAAATAGTATTATTGCGAAATTAATATTGCGTAACGAACACGATCGACTTTTGCATGCAGGCCCGCAAGCAATGTTAGCAAACAGTCGATTAAAGTACTGGATAATTGGAGGCAGAAATATTGCTAGACATATATTTCACCAGTGTGTAAAGTGTTTTCGACTTCGACCAACAGTAGTTGAACCAATAATGGCGGATTTACCATCGGAACGACTTGTGCCAAATCGACCGTTTAAAAAATGCGGGGTTGACTATGCCGGTCCTATTACCATAAAAACAAGTTTACGAAGAAATGCTACAACAATAAAAGGGTATATCTGTGTGTTTGTATGTTTTAGCACTCGGGCAGTCCATATTGAATTAGTTGCTGATCTAACTGCTGAAGCATTTCTAAATGCTTTAAAACGCTTTATTGGACGCCGCGGTGTATGCTCCGATATATTTAGTGATAATGCTACTAATTTTGTGGGAGCTAATAATAAATTGTTAGAGCTAAAAAAAATATTTCATACTGAAGAGCATTTAACTAAAATATACGATGCTTTATCGTCTGAGGGCATAAGGTGGCATTTCATACCCCCTCGATCCCCTCATTTTGGCGGATTGTGGGAGGCTTCCATTAAATCTATAAAAAATCATTTATACCGAGTTTTAGGTACGGCTAATCTGACATATGATGAACTGAACACCATCTTAATTAAAATAGAGGCAGTCCTTAATTCCAGACCTTTAACCCCATGTTCCTCCGATCCTACTGATACGACACCATTAACACCGGCTCATTTTTTAATTGGTGAACCTACCTGTTCATTACCGGAGCCAGATTTAACTGGTATACCAGAAAATCGATTAAAACGTTGGCAGTGGGTAACGCAATTGACTCAAATATTATGGAAGCGCTGGAGTAAAGAATATTTGTCGCAACTTCAAACGAGGCAAAAGTGGTTAGCAAATAGGGGCCCTAAGCTCAAGATCGGTACTATAGTATTAGTGAAAGAAGACGACGTGCCCCCGATGTCTTGGTCAATGGGTCGAGTTGTTCGTGTCCAAGCTGGTGACGACGGTGTCATCCGAGTGGCGACTATATTATCAAAAGGAAAAGAAATATCCAGAGCTGTCCGTAAACTTTGTCCTCTTCCTTTTGAGGATAATAGTTCGTAAAATATTTTTTTTTTATTCTATGATATCTTATTGATATTTAAATATGGCATGTATTATGAAACATTCTAATTTATTTATATTTAACAATGTCTTTACTTATATATTTATATTACTTATTCCTTTATTTAATTTTGTGTGTTTACATCATTTATCTATTTATTGTGAACTTTTGTTGAAAAATATTTTATATGCATTTGTTTTACTGTATTAATATTCTAATTTTTCAAGGCGGGCGGCATGTCGACGCGTATATTATACTTCAGAAATGTCACTATTATTATTATTATCTATTGTTATGTTATCTTATGATCGCCAATGTCGATCCGATCCATGTACGAATGTTACCTATTTTAGTGTGTGTTTAACCGTGTATCCATGTACATATGCGCGTCACCGTGTCTGTCTCAGTATTTTTAAAATAAATTATACATTTCTATATTAATGAAAATTATATATTAAAAATTATACAGTCCATTAAAAACCAGCGACAACAGGTGTGAATGCCGAATTGTTTGACAAAATGTCATCAACTATCTGAAGTGATTTGCGCTTGAACTGCCGTACTTCTTCATCAGACATTTTCAAAAGATAGGTAGCATACTAAGAAGAAACATTTTTAAAGATTCTGCTTTTGGATCCTGATTAGCATTGACTGAAGAGTTCTCTGTTCTGGCTTTTTTTTTGCCTGGAAATATTCTAAAAATGCTTTGTCCACTGCTTCGTTTTTTAATCCGCGTTTTTTGTTTGAAACGTATGATGGCGAAGACTCGGATTGACTCAGAGTAATGTTATTCTTCTTTTGGGGCATGTCAGTAGCTGAAGGTGTGTATAATGATGTAGAAGGCGATGGCGAAGTTGGCGTAAGATGTGGTTGAAATGGCAAAGATTGCTGTGGGTCAAGTTCGGAGTTGTTAAAGTCAATTTCTTCAGATTGTTCAAAACTTTCCTTCTGTTCTGGGGGATTAGGAAGATTTCCCGAAGGCACACCTAACGCCTTAATATATGGAACTGTAAACTGCATAGATTCTAATAAATAATATGCTTTCTTTGATTTAGCTCCAGAACCACTTGGTGCTGGTTTCATGTTACGCACAAAAACAGCACGAAGGTTCTTCCACTTATCTTTGCATTCAGATACTAAAAAAAAGATAACATTCAGAGTATACATAATTTGTAATAACAATCTAGTGTTATACCGCTATTTTTACACAAACCCGATTAACTACAACCCCTCCTTGTAATCTACTGTACAGCAGAGTGACACACACTTGACTACCTTTTTATGATTGTTTATTTCATTTTGCAGATACTTGGGTACAGGTGGGACATTTGCGTCAATTGCTGTTTATTTTGGTAGAGGAGAATCTACAGTTGGTGGAATTGTGACGGAAACAGTAAAAGTGATTTGGGAAGTGTTGGAAAAAACATTCATGCCAATACCAAGTACAGAGCAGTGGAAAGGAATAGTAAAACGTTTTGAAACACTCTGGAATCTTCCAAACTGTATAGGGGCCATCGATGGCAAACATGTAAGAATTGAAAAATTTCCAAATAGTGGTTCTTCTAATTTCAATTACAAGTCGTATCATTCTATGGTGTTAATGGCTTGTTGTGACGCTGACGGGTTATTCACTATTATCGAAACGGGTTTTCCCGGAAGAAACAACGATGGGGGTATATTCAGTGCCTCAGCAATGAAATATTGGATCTAAAATGCAGGACTTAATATCCCTCCTCCCACACCATTAACATACGATGAAAATTATAGTCCGTTTCCTTATTACTTTGTGGCCGATGAGGCATTTCCGTTGTTGAAATATGTGATGAGACCATACCCAAAAATAATTTTAGATAATGTGAAAAGAATATGCAACTATAGATTTAGCAGAGGGAGAAAAACCATTGAGTGTACGTTTGGGATGGCTTGTGAAAAATTTGCTGTCTTGAATGGTCCTATTCGTATCAGAGATCCAGAAAATGTGAATTTGGTCATAAAAGCAGCTTGTATACTTCACAACTACGTACGAAAAAAAGAAGGACTTCAGTATACACCTACTTATTCCACAAGTTGTGAAGCAAATAACCACATTGACGTAATACCTTTACCACAAAATTTGACTATAAATATAACCTCTTCTGCAGCTGCTCTTAGAAATTATATAGCAAACTATTTTCTTACACCTCAAGCATCTTTGCCTTGGCAATGGAAATATGCTATTAATTAGTTTTTAAAAATAATTATTTTATTGTCTAATATTGTTTAACTATTTAATCATTTATCATCTACAAATTATCTAACACTTATTATTATACCTATTTAATCATGTTGATCATTATTTTCTAGTTTGAAGTTAAAAATAAATTATTTTAAGATTTTAACTGTAATGTAGCTATTTGTGATCAATAGTATGTCTATATTTAAATAATAAAAAACTGTAAAATCATAATAAAAAATAAGTCTGATCATCAGAAATTTCTATTTTTGTCATTGCGATAATGCGATAACAATCCGTCGCGACGGTCGCGGGTCGCCCGGTGTGCACCGATTACGAGTATAATATTATTATAGTATTATATTAACAAAATTTCGGGAATAACTAATAATATAATATATAGATTAAAAATCCACGTATATTTATTTTTAATTAAATGTATTTATTAAATTTATAATTATATTACTACATATTATTATTTACCTGACATGTTTACTGATCTTCCTACTTCATTCCAAGCTTTTTCTGTTTCATCCTTTCTGGAATATCCCGAAAGCGTGAAGTTATATAGAACGGGATGTTTTTCTACTTCTTCCACCAACAAAATTAATTTTTTGTTCGTTCATTTTTACACAAATAACAAATTTTTGCAATACGTAAAACAAAAAAACTTCGTTGAGCAACAAAATATTGAAGTGATAAAACTCAAAAGTGACTCGACAGTTGAATCACTCGGAACTTATCACTAACGCGTTAGTAACTGATTAGTAACTATATAGTAGCGCCGTCTGTTATGTTCCATTGAATAACATTGGTAGTGACTCTACGGGGACTAGTTAATGATTTGCATCAGTATTTAGTTTCAAATGAGTAGCTCCGTGTGTAGAAGGCCTTAATTGTTATAATACATAGTACAATGTTAACACTATCGTTTACTCATCTATTCTGAGAAGTCCAGGACGTGTGATCAAGTCTTAATCATTATATTAAATATCACGATGTGCCCTATCCGTTGGTGCTACACTGTTTGAATATATAATACGCGTCACCTCTCCGTATAATATATGTGTTAAAATAACACGGTACGTAACACCTCCCTTCCAAAAAAAAGATTTATGTTCTGTAAGAAACAGAAATCTTAAAAATTTGCGTATTATCTTAATTTTTAGGTGTTAGTGGTTTCACATTTTTTTTCTTTTTCTTTCGTTACATTTTCTCTTAATATTAGTATTAGTATTTTGGATTATGATTTTATAAAATAATTTTTTTGCTACTTGTTAGCAATTACATTTAAAAATAACTTCTTAATAAACTAACACGATTTCATTCAATCGTGCTTACACTTATTTCATACATGGAAGTTAAATCATATTTTCTATTCCTGAAATTACAAATTTTAGTTACAAATACATTATTAGAACAGCTTCTTATAACTGTTTCATGATTTCACTTAATCATGTTTACATTTTTTTGTCTTTTCCTGTTACAAAATAATTATACATAATTTAAATTAATTTAAATATAAGTACATAAATTATATATTCTCTCTGGCCATAGTGTTATTATGGAAACTTTACTTTAATATAAGTTAAATTATTATATAAGTATTGTTATATACTCTTTCGGTTAAGGCCAAAAGGTATATGTATTTTGTAAAAGAGTTCGTTCACTTACGGGTTGTATTCAAAACACTACACGAAATCTGTTTAACTTTAAGAAATTATTTTATTAATTATTTTATTATAAGAATATTTTAACAACACAGTATTATGCGAATCGGCTACTTATTCACGACTAACTCTTGCTTATTCTACGTTCTTGTTTTGGCGACGCAGTCGCTTGCAAAAAAAAATACACATATTGCTTACATTACTATATTATTGTATAATATGCTTATATGCTTACTAATCTAAAGTTTGTATGCAAGGGTTCCTAACAGTATACTATTATACATTTTTTTTTTTTTTTTATTAGGTTGCTCACAATTATGCACATTCTCTAAAACCCCCTTCATAAGTCCCTGGGTATTGGTATAATTGCATAATTGAATGTTGTTCTATTAATTAATTGTTTGCATAATTAATTAAATCGTATGCCTCCGGTACTATATCTATAAGTTCTGCCAAATACTGACAGTTATAGATATTATTAAAAGTTTTTTTAAACCTCAACGACACCCTCCCTTATTCCCAATTGACATGAGGTCAGTAGCTTCAAGAGTTGATGCAAATTTGCCAAGAACAACATATATTGCTGAATCATGGCACGGTCGACTTAATAGGTAGAAACAATATATCAATAACCATAACATAATTATTATAAACTTATAACTAAACTATTAAAAAGTATTTATAGATTAATATCAAAACAACCAGGAGTTTAAAAATTGATGAGACAGTTCCAAAAAATTCAGAATGAAACTGAAAACTCTATAGAGCAAATCATTCAAGGCCGAACAAGTAAAAAAAGAAAAACATGCAACGAAGAACGGGAACAAAGAATTAAAAAATTAATTCTAAGACTAAAAAATGTAGACATAAGTATTATTGAGTTTCTAAGAGGAATATCGTATAATTTAAGTTTTTAGTTTTTTTTTTTATTTAGCATTTACATTTATTAACGACTAATTTATTTTACGACTTTTTGATATTTTTAAATTTAATTTTTTACGCAGAAAATCGAATCAACGAATAATAAATATTTTGGTAAAATTCATGTTTCATTTATCGATAATTTCGAATATACGACCTTTCGAACATATAATCTTTCGTACAGACAATCTTTCGTACACTTAGCGTTCGAACATACAGCATTCGAACACATGACCCCTTACAAATCGCAACCGTTATCGACAGCGTAACGGTAACATTTCATATGGCCGTTGAATATCGCGATAGAGGTCGTATTAATTTTCCACTCGCACCCGTTCTGGTGCGCGTACTTTAGACACCGGTAGTGGCCATTCTCCGCGGCGGCGCAGCACGTGTACGCATCCCACGGACATCCCTTCCGATGCAAAAATTTCAGACAGTTGAGATGGCCGCCCGCCACGGCTGCGGCACACGTCACCTCGTTCCACGGGCACGCATTCCGGAGCGCGTATTTCAGAATCCTGTAGTGGCCAATGTACGCGGCGTTGCTGAAGGTGCTTACGTCCCACGGGCAGCCGTTTTCGCGAGCGTACCTGAGACACTCAATGCTGCCCCCCCGGGCGGCCGCCTGGGTGGTCCTCCAGTCCCACGGTATGCCGATCTTGTGCGCCCGCTGCAAACAGTCGACGTGCCCGTGCAGGGCGGCCAGGATGCACACGTCCGGCCGCGGAATGGTCTGGCGCCAGCTCTCCAGCGTGTTGTTGCCGGGCGTCAGCAGATAGCGGCAACAGTCCTGCAGGTCGATCCGTATCACGCAACCGGGTATCGCGTCGTAAAACATTCGATCTTCGGCACTGCACATGTGGTACGCGGGTTTTGCTAGACTAAACTCCATGGTATGCGCGACTGTTGGATGGAAGTGGTGGGACTAAACCGTCGGCTTGACGCGATGTCGATTTTGGACGTACACACCGGCGGACGACGACGATGACCGACGTTTAAAGACAGCTGCTGCTACTGAAAAAAACATTTTTACGCGTTAGTAATTACTTGGTATAAAGGCTAGTTCAGACTATGCCAGTAATTTAGTCAAGTGGTAAGTGACTTACTAACTACTAAACGGTTTAGTAACTGAAAAGTGTTCAGACACAATAGGGTTTAAAACTGTTTTAGTACATTAGTATTCGTTTTGGTGCTGTGAAAAGTGATTGCCAAAATGAATAGTTTACAAAAAAAAAATTTGAATAAAGCAATAGGACTTATTTCAACGGCTATTTTAGAAGAGGTAGAAGAAGAGCTTAATAAAAGTTCAAAGCGAATGTGGATTAGGGAATGGATCAAGAGAAGAGACACATTGGGAGCTACAAATGGTCTTCTTAGAGAACTAGAATTTGAAGACCCCAAAGAATACTTCGTAACGCTAAGAATGTCTGAAAGCTGTTTTAATTTTTTGTTGAAAAAAGTGCAACCACAAATTCAACGTAGTGACACTCACTTAAGAATGGCGATTCCTGCAAAAACAAAATCACAAACAGTTCTATACTTTCTTGCTACGGGATGCAGTTTAAGGACGTTAACACATCTTTTTCGACTTGGAAAATCAACTATTTCAGAATTCATTCCAGAAGTTTGTATAGCCATTTACGATTCATTACAGGACTTTATTAAGGTAAGAAATAAAAAAATCATTTGAAAACCCATTATCTAGTTAATTTTTAAAAACATTTATTAATTTATTAAAAAAAACCATCACTTTTTATTTTTTAACATACAATTCAACTTAGGTTAATCATAAAACCTAAGTTATAAAACAGTATTATCAATTACTTTCAACAAAATAATAATTCGAAATATTTTAATAAAATAACAGTCACTTTTTAACAATTTAAATATTTTAAAACTTAAGGTATGAAAAAAATATAACAAAATTATTATTTAATTTTCATATTTTAATAAAAACATATTTGAATGCTCTCGCATCTCGAATATATTTAAAAATCAACATTGGCGTTATTGATTGCAGTTGCAATTATGTCGTTCGTGGTAGTGCTATTTTGCAAACCTTGAAATGACGGCATAATTATTGAGGTAGATATATCTTCCATCGTTGTATGTTGAATATTATATTGTTGTGTTTGAGGAATTGATTGAGACGAGCATTCTGTATCTTCACGGGACTGACTATTAAAATAACTGTATGTTGAAGCAGAACTATAAGGTGAATCTTTTTGAGTGTATGACGATACCGATGGAGTGGGTGATCTCGTAATTATTGTATTTTGGTCAGAAGAGTTTTGTAAATGCTGTCTACGAAGTCTATTCAAATAAACTTGAATATGTTCTTGTGCCTCAAGTGCTAATAGTAATGGCATTGATTGTAGTTGTAGCCCTATGTGTTTTCCAAAAACCTCAAACTCGTTTTCTACCGGAGAGTTAACAGCTTCGGTTATCCCTTTTAACTCAGTGACCATAGTCTTAAGTTGTGAAAGTCTTTGCTTTTTTGGTTTTGGTTCACAAAATTCAGAGTTTAATGTGAGTTCAGTAGTATTTTCTGTGTGTTCGGTTTCTGTTACAGATATATTATTTTCGTTATCTGTGTTTGACTGAAAAATTAGTAAATAGATTATGTTAATTTTTTTTTAATAATTTAATATAGGGAACTTAATAATAAAATACTATTATAAGATTTAGATAAATTGTGTATTATGTATTTTTAGGTTCCTGACAAAGAAGGTTGGAAAAATATTGAGAAGGGTTTTAAAAACGAATGGAACTTTCCCATGTGCTGTGGCGCTATTGATGGCAAACACGTTATAATTAAAGCACCTCCCGAATCAGGAAGCTTGTTCTACAATTACAAGGAATCAAACAGTATTGTTTTAATGGCAGTAGTGGACCATAAATATTGTTTTAGTTATATAGATGTCGGGTGTAATGGGAGAGTGTCTGATGCAGGTGTTTTTCGTAACTGCAGTTTGTATCAAGCATTAGAGGACGGTATGCTACCAGAAGGTCATGTTTTAGTTGGCGACAACGCATTTCCCTTAAAAGAATATTTACTTAAGCCATTTCCTGGAAACCAGTTGACATTAAAACAGAAAATTTTCAACTATAGATTGTCGCGTGCAAGAAGAATAGTCGAAAACGCTTTCGGCATAATGGCCGCTAGATTTCGAGTATTTGAAAAACCGTTTCCATACAGCCCCGAAAAGGTCATTCTTATCGTAAAAGCATGTTGTGCTCTTCATAACTGGCTCAATGAAACTAAATTACAATATAGACAATTTGAATATACAGTTGATTCAGAAAATTTTGATACTGGAGAAATTGTCCGAGGTAATTGGAGGGACGAGTCAGAGCCGAATGGTTTTGAATCATTAAAAAATAGTTTAGCCAATCATTCAACCAGAAGATCTCAAGACCTTCGCGAAAGATATGCCGATTACTTCGTGGCAGAAGGATCGATTCCTTGGCAGACAAATATGCACCATCCGGTGCACTAAAATGTACAAATGTACACGTGACTCGGACGATTTTTTTTCTTAAATGTCAACTTAAGTTATAAACTTTAAAATAATAATAATAAACTTTTAAATAATTTAAAACTGTATAGTATAATTTTAAATATGTATTAATAATCTGAATAAACATTCTCCATTCATATTTAATAAGTTATTTGTATTTGATTAATTATTGTTCACAAAAATCCATGATAACAAAAACAATAATAGTAGTGCTATTTATATAGTTGTAATGTATAAAATGTATACTTTAATTCTTACATTAAAACTAAAATAAGTACAGTATACTGTATACATACCAAATTGCTGTGACTTTCCGTCAACTCAGAATTAATAGAACGTAGGGTATCATACAATATGTTGAACCATTTAATAGATGGTACGTAAATAGTGTCGGTACCTGCGCCGGATCTTTTCGAATCCTTTATTTTTTTTAGCTCTTGTGAATAAGTAGACCTGTTTATGTATTTTAAAATAAGTGTTAAAAGTTAATAGTTATCTATTTATTATTTAATAAACTTATACTGACCTTATGTTTTTAATTTTTAACTTTATCTCTTTTTCACCGAATCCAGGTATATTCATATTTTTTTGTATTTCATTACAAGCAGATAGCTTGGCCTGTTTATTTTTATACAGCAGACATTTTATGTTCCATAAAGACTCGTGTTTTATATATTCCGAAACAAATTTAAATGTTGTGTCTTCACCCCAACGAAACGTCATCTTGACACTGACAAGGATAACTAATACACTAAACTAAAATAATGCGTTCAGACCGCCTATTAGTAATTAGTCAGAAAAGTGGGGGATGCTACTCGACCAGAAAAAATAGAAGTAAATGGATCCACTAATTACTAAATTACTAAATAAATTTACTAAACTACTCGACTAAATCAGTCTGTTCATACACGTTTAGTAGCTAAATTACTCGCTACTTGACTAAATTACTGGCATAGTCTGAACTAGCCTTAACGTCGCCATTTGAAGCGTACCCGTAAAGGTACAAAATTATTAGGCTATAGCACGTGTAATTGCTGATCGACTGTAGCTGTAGCCTCCTCCCCCTCTCCCCGCGAAAATACTATCGAATCGACGAAGAATAACATTTTATTGATTGTTTCTAAGCAACGTTATTTCGCATCGACCACAGTAATAGTAGACAATCTTTGTCACTATATAAATAAAATAGGTAAGTGGACTATATAATAATTGGAAGTGTTTTGTTTATTTTGTATAATAGGTCGCAATTTTAAATTTATTACTAACTCAATACAATATGATACATAATAATGACAAACAAACTGTCTGGTTGCAATATAAATCTAATTTATATATATATATAAAATAATGACTGAAAAGTTCAATAAACGACATAGCAATCAGTTCGACACTAACCATAAACGCAAACGAACTCAACAATATAGTTATCAACAGTCATCTTCTAAAGACAGTAACGTATTGTTTAAATTTAATAATTATTATATACATATTATAATCCAAACGGGTCTATTATTGATAAATATTTAAAACACGTGCTCTAACTGATAACCGAAAACTTATCCATAAAATATGAAACTTTCTGGATAACTAATATCGTAAAGGTTCCCGACCATGTAACACTAGATTAATATAAATAAAATATTCAAATTAGAGTTGTTAAATCATAGTTACCGGAGAAATAAAAAGTACTAGCGTTAATCATAGCAGAACAAAATAAAAACATACACTTAACTCAAAGTTTTAACCAGAAAAAAAGGATACATAACAACAAAGGTATTGCTAAAAAAACTTGTCCGTATAACGAACAAAATATATTTTAAATAAATAACGATGACGATAGAAATGGACAATAATTAGTAGGCCTTATCACCACAGCCGACTACCGATAACGCAAAATACTATAACCATGCAACTTTAACGGCGACAGAGACAAAATTAATTGCATCATAATACAATATAAGACTCAAATTATACTGAAACTCAATTTTATCAAAACTTGAATATATTAAATTTTAAAAAAACTTTTAAAAATAATTTATTTTAGCCTAATAGTTTTGTTACTTGTTAATACAATTTTTGTACAGTTCCATAGTAGAAATATTAATAGTAAAATCAACATATAACCATTATAAACTCTATTAAATGATTGTTCAAAAATTTACATTTTAGAAGTACTATTGTCAATATCATTTTAAATTATCAAATATACTATAGTCTGTTTAAAGTATTTATATTCTATAAGAAGTATAAAACATATACAATTTTGTTATTCAATACTATTTTGTACCTATTTTCTTTTTCTTTTGATAATTGTTTGTACTGAGCATTATTTAGTTTGGTTTTCTCATTGTTATAGATATTATACTACATACTACAAAAAGTAAATTTTAAAAAGCAACAGATTTAAATTATATTTACCTTTATTTAATTCTATTGGTCTTAAATAAAGCGAATGCTCAAGATTGTAATTTATTTTATTATAATAATTAAATTTAATATCATAATATTAAAAACTGTAAAATGACCTTCAGTGGGTTGCTTAGGCAATACGTAAC